CCACCCCCCATCATTCAGAGGACCTTAAGCCCAGAACTAGGTGATCTGGCCCCAAATTACCTGACCATGTTGCAGGCTTTAGCTAAAGTGCAACAACGGATTTGGCCCTTAATTCAAGCATACCACGCTGTTAAGAGGGACCCGGCTCCGGAACATGGCATAGTCCCGAGTGACATGGTATGGGTTAAAAGACATCAGTCCAAAACCCTAGAGCCTAGATGGAAAGGACCTTATGTTGTACTGTTTACTACCCCTACCGCCCTCAAGGTCGACGGGATTGCAGCATGGGTACACCATTCCCATGTAAGACGGGCTCACCCTCCGGAGAAAAAACAGGAAAATTGGTCCGCACGAAAGCATCCAACAAACCCACTCAAGCTCCGGCTGATACGGGATGCTCCAAAAAACGAAAACACTCCAGATGCTCCGCAGCCCTCCTAGAATGGGATTATCACCTGGGTCCACTACACCCACATCAGACCGGCAGATCCGGTAGCTATGAAGAAAGGCTTCCTGCCAACAAGAAGGGTGTCCCACCACAAGGAAAATTTTTTCAAACTCAAACTTCATACTGGACCTCGGTAACTTTATTCCTTTTTCTAACCCTGTCCACCACTTGCTGGGGGCATACAAATCCACATCAACCTTTTAACCTGACCTGGATGATTGTAGATGTATCCACAGGAGACATTCTTAACCAGACCTCCAAGGTGACCCCTCCCAGCACCTGGTTCCCAGAATTATACTTTGACTTAAGGGCCTTATTCACTGGCAGGGGACAATGGGATTTGCGCCAAAGTTACTTCTATGTCTGCCCCGCTCCCCAACCCAACCACAGAAAAAAATGTGGAGGAATCGCAGACTATTATTGTAAGTCATGGGGTTGTGAGAGCTCAGGGGATATATGGTGGCCACCCCCCAAACAGGGGGACCTTATTCAATTAAGTAGAGTCTCTCAATCTGGCATTACATACCACCAACCTAGACCTATAAATAAGGGATGCCCAACTCCCCCAATTGTAATCCCATTATGATAAATTTCACTGATTTAGGAAAAAAGGCAACGAATTGGGAATTGGGTAAATCCTGGGGAGTCAGACTCTACAAAACAAATCATCCAGGAGCCCTTTTTACTTTGCGGCGTGTGCAACAACCAGTCTCTACTCTAACAATAGGCCCTAATAAGGTACTTAGGCCACCCTATGTAAAGCCACCTCCCCGACCTTCCACAGCTCATCACCTTCCCTCAACCATAGCCCGGGCTAATGTTACAACTCCAAGACCATCAGAAACCAGCCCTCCCCTGGTGAGGCCCAGTCTCATGACCGGATCTAAAGACCCCCTCTGGGAGCTAGTGGGTGCTGCCTTCCTGACGTTAAACCACACCAACCCTAACATGACTAACTCCTGTTGGTTATGTTATGATGTGAGGCCCCCATTCTATGAGGCAATAGGGCTAAACACCACTCACGATACCTCATCTGAGGAAAACCCTACTCAATGTTCCTGGGGAGACCGTAAGAGAGGTCTGACCATACAGCAGGTAAGCGGCCAAGGAACCTGCTTAGGAAAAGTGCCAAAGAACAGACGGGACTTATGTACTGTTATTAACGCCAGTTCTACCTGGGAAAATGCTATTAAATGGGTAATTCCAAAGGACAATGGGTGGTGGCTATGCTCGCGGTCTGGACTCACCCCGTGCCTATCAACTAAGGTGTTTAACAGCTCTAAAGAATTCTGTGTTATAGTGACTGTGCTGCCCCGCATCCTCTATCATTCGGAAGAGAGTCTATATTCATACTGGAATACAAAAATGGTTAAAAAAAAAAAAGAGAAAACCTATTTCCACAGTAACTATTGCTACCCTACTCAGCCTAGGGTTAGCGGGAGCAGGAACCGGCATAGCTTCTTTGGCCACCCAGCAGAAAGGGATGTCTTCGCTGCGTGCAGCCATAGACGAAGATATAGAGAGAATAGAAACCTCCATTAGCCACCTAGAAAAATCCCTCACTTCCCTGTCTGAGGTAGTACTTCAAAACCGACGAGGTCTGGACTTGTTGTTCCTCCAAAAGGGGGGACTATGTGTTGCTCTAGGGGAAGAATGTTGTTTTTACGCTGACCATACCGGAGTTGTTCGTGACTCCATGTCTAAACTTCGAAAGAGCCTGGAACAAAGAAAACGAGAAAAAGAGGCCGGGGAAAGCTGGTTCGAGTCTTGGTTTAACCAGTCCCCATGGTTGGCTACCCTTTTATCTGCATTGGCAGGGCCAATAATAATCATCCTATTACTTGTTACCATAGGACCCTGGATTCTAAACCGACTTATGACTTTTGTCAAAAGTCGAATTAATACTATCCAACTTCTGGTCCTCCGCCAACAATATCAGGCTCTTCATCCCCTTGAAAATGATTCCTCAATTTAGGCCGTAAGAAAAGGGGGGAATGAAAGGAATAGGAGGTCTCAGCGGGCCCCAACCCCCTTGTTGGAGAAACCAGTACCAAACACCCCATGTAGATAAGATAAGCAATGCGGCAGGGCTCAGTTAGGGCATATAGAATGTGGGGAATGTGAGCGGGGGGTACATGCAAGATGTGAAGTACGTGCAAGATGTGAGGTACGCGCAAGATGTGCTCTGCCTGCTTGCCCAATGTTGATAACGAAAATATGCATGCCACCGCGGTCTATATAAGATTTCCCCTAAAGAGGCTCAGGGTCGTGTTTTCCTAACCGGTCCTGCGTGTCCGTGTGGGAGCTCGACCCTGGCTAGCCAGCCCAATAAACTCTGCTTTGTTGATTGCATTCACGCCTGGCTCTCTGTCTCTCGGGGGAATAGGATTCCGGGTCCTAACAGTATAAAGAGTCCTATAAAAGCATATGAAGGACTGGGATGTAACTAAATGGTATAGAATTTGCTTAGCATGTGCAAGGCTCTGGGTTTGATTCCTAGCAACACACACACACACACACACACACACACACACACACAAAGGGAAAAAAAAGGGAAAAAGGAACAAGTCGGAGCAAAGAGGAAATTTTACCTTAAATTTTTCAAAGGGAGCTGGGTGCTGGTGGCTCACACCTGTAATCCTAGCTCAGGAGGCAAAGATCAGGAGGATCAAGGTTCAAAGCCAGCCTGGGCATATAGTTCACAAGACCCTATCTTGAAAAAACCCTTTACAAAAATAGGGCTGGTGGAATGACTCAAGGTAAAGGCCCTAAGTTCAAGCCCCAGTACCACAAAAAAAAAATTTTTTTTTTCAAAGGGAAACCACCAACCACCAAAGGAATTTAAACAGGTAGATCCATAGATCCATAATCATTTTTGTAGTTTGAGCAATATCATTTTGGCTAGGGGCAAGAATGGAGGTAGGGATGCTATGGTGAATGTCTAGGTTAAAGACAACAGTGGGGATAGTCAGAAATAAATGGATTTGAGAGACATTTAGAAGAACTTACAAGGCTTTTTTTTTTTTTGGTGGTACTGGGATTTGAACTCAGGGCTTCACACTTGCTAGGCAAGCACTCTATCACTTGAGCCACTCCACCCACTCTGTTTTGTGTTGGATATTTTCAAGATAGGGTCTCCAGAACTATTTGCCTGGGGCTGACTTTGAATTGCGATCATCCTGATCTCTGCCTCCTGAATAGCTATGGTTATAGGTGTGAGCCACCACTGCCCAGCTTGGATGTCTTATATATGACGACTCTAAGGAGTTCACAAAAAACATAGCACTACTAAATTTAGCAAAGTAGCAGGATATAAAGTCAACATAAAAAAAATCAACTACATTTCCATATACTAACAATGAACAATGAATGGTTTAAAAAGGAAATTACAAAAGCAAGTCCATTGACAATAGCATCCAAAAGAATAAAATACCTAGGAATTAACTTAACCAAGGAGGTGAAAGACTTGTTTATGAAAACAATTCCATTTAAAATAACATAAAAAAAGCTGGGCCCTGGTCTCGAGAACTATTTGCCTGGGCTGGCTTCGAACCACAATCTTTCTGACCTCTGTAGTTAGGATTACAGGCATGAACCACTGGTGCCTGGCAATAAGGCATTTAATAATCTATTGAATGTATAAGCTGAGAAGGCAGAGAGTCAAAGCTATCTTGGGATTTTGTTTTAAACAACTGAGTGAAAGGAACATTATAGGAAAAAGTAGTTTGGGGAAAGGAAGGCAGCCTATAAAAATCAGTATACTTACATTATTTACAGAGATTAAAAACAGACAAATTCCTCTACCTATTATACCATATGGAAATTAACCAAAAGGAGAAACAATGTACAGATACTCACATAAGTCATTTACAATAGTAAAAGAACTGAAAAGAATCCAGGCATGGTGACACATATGTTGGCCTATAATCGCAGCAAATTGGAGCTGATCAGGAAGATCTTGAGTTCAAGGACAGTCTGGGCTAAATAGTAAGACTCTGGCTCAAAAAGCAAAAAACAAACAAACAAAAAAGTGGAAATAGGTAAAAGCTTGACACTGGGGGCAGAGCTAAATAAACTGGCATGTTAACCATTTGGATTTTTTGAACAAAATGTACACTTGCTAGGCATGGTGGTACACAACTATAATCCTATCACTTGAGTGGCTGAGGCATCTGGATTACGGATTCTGTCTCAAATAATAATAATAGTAATGACAGTAATTTTTAAAGGAACCCCAAATGATACATGCACAATAAATATAAATTCAGATTATATGCAATAACAAAGATTGGAAGAGAAATTTGTGGAGTTATAAAATGACAAGTGTTCTATTTATCAATTCCTATTTTATTGATTGATTGATTGATTGATGGCACTGGTGTTTGAAATCAGATCTTTGTACTTGCAAAGCAGATACTCTACCACTGAGTCACAATCCCAGTCCCTAATTTTTTTTTTTTTGTAAAGATAAAGGTGGCATATGCCATATATTTACTTGTAAATCGAGTTGGTCATACCTCCCATGATGCAAGACTGTCATTTTAATTCCTACCTGGTAAACGATGGAAGTCAGGGATGCATTTATCACCACAACACCATCTTTCTGGGCTTTAAATACATGGTAAGATCCATTTGTAGTAGTTAGTTGCTCTTCAAAGTATTCCTGTAGAAACTCGTAGGTAATCCTGAGATTCTAAAAGTAATCCAACAGCAACACAAACCTGAAGGTATGGTCTTTCCCTAAAGTTATTCTAATTCCAAAGCATATGTAAAACTATAGCTATCCATTCAAGGCATAAAGAAATAAGAACAAAACCTTTGCTTTCCCTCATGGAAATTCTAAGTTGAGGGCTGAGGATCTGCCTCAAGATGTAGGCACCTGTCTAGCAAGCAAGAGGCTCAAATTCTAGTACTGCCAAAAACCAACACACACACACACACACACACACACACACCCCAAAAAACCTAAGCTAAGAAGGTATAATTTTAAAATGGTACTAGTTTTTAGTTTTTGAAAGATTCATTAATCGCAAGTATCAGGAATAGAGTCAAAACTCATGTAACTTTAGTGCAATTTGTGTCATTCCATAAATTGATAGCTCTTGTAAGAGGCACTCAAGTTGCTTTTGCTGAAAAGCACTGACTTCTTACCTAGCCCACAAATTAACTAAAAACGATCTTTGTCTCCATTTTGTATCCATCTTTGCTTTAAGTTGTTCTCTTTACAGTCACTTTACAATCATCTTGGATTCCAAAAAGGACAACACTGATAATACCTTTATGACAATGAACTGGAGCCACCTGGAGCTGCCACCCTCCCAGTGAGGACAATTATCCCAAGAATCCTCTCAAACAGGAACCAGATTACTCCCTCCAGATGAATGATAACTTCCAAAACTGGACAAGACCATCTGCCTCTAGTTTCATTCTCAGTGGAAATTAAAAAAGGACTCTGGAGTGAATACACTTTACAGCTGACATTCTCACTACCACAAAACTGTGGTAACTGCTCTGCAGTGAATTTGTAGAGTAAGAATTCCCTCTAATATGTTAACCTTGCTGTTCTCGTCACTCCTTTTTATAATTCTGACCATATTATTTTTTCTTCTAGTTTAGCATTCCTCAAGGACATAACTAGTTAATTAAAAAAACAAAAAACTAGTAACCTGAATTTCCAAAGATAAAATCTGGGGCAAAAGAAGAAAGGAGCTTTCTACCAATAGATGGCTATTTACACAAGGATTTAGAAAAACATAAAAAGAGACTCACATCTGAAATATAGACTTTTGTGCTGCTTTTATCAAACACTTCTACTGTAGTGACATACACTTGTCCCACCTCTAGACTCCACCGGTCTCCAGGATAGATAGTGAAACCTATATATAAATCAAGAAATAAAAATGTTTCAAGAAGCTAACTTTTTCTATAACAAAAAAATTACAAACTTAAAAAAGCTATTTGTTTTTGACAGTACTGGGGTTTGAACTAAGGGCTTTGAACTTGTTAAGCAGGTGCTCTACCACTTAAGCCACACCTTAAAAAAAGCTATTTGAAGTGCAAAACTTGCTAAGAGATGGAGATGGTTTCCAAAGCTGATCTTTTAGTTTCTTCTCTCAAATTATATAATTTAGGCTTCCAAAAATCTTTAATTTAGCTCACATCAAGTATAAAGAAATACTGTCATACATGTAGATAGGAACAAACCACATTTTGGCTCATTCCTAATGTGTCAGACAAAGTTTCAGTTTCTTTCATTTATTCTTTGTTTCATATGACATAAACACATTAAGATTCTTTTTCCTTGTGCAAAATCTCTTTTTCTAACTCAAAGAGTGTAGTATGTGGAGTTTCATATTGTTTCATAATCTGTTTTAGGATGTTTCACTCTTATAGATAGCATTTAGTTGAATTTGAAGTTAGCTAAGTCTTAAAATGAAGGTTGGGACCTTGACAGGTCTCTGGCTTTTAATGAACTCATTTTAGTGAAACCATTTAAATTATTCAAATTTCTGAAAACCATTATCTAAAAATACCTAAAAATCCAGGCTCTACAACATATATGGTGCAATTTGGGAGTCCAGACACAGATCGCATATGGACATCTTAATTTTTGCTTAAGGAAATCACGTGAGACAGAGTTGGATGAAAATTGAAAGGTGAACTACCAAAGGAAAAAAATAATAAATGCACAAACAAAAACAATAAGAATTCTGTCTTTTATTTCCTTTGGAAAGCCAAGACTGAAATATGTCCACAACTAAGGTCTGAGACCTTATTATCTTAGGAGTAAGGTATTCTTGGAGGTCAAGAGGAAGACAAAATGGAAGGAAGAAGATCATGTTCTGAGCTTTTAAAGTTTATTTTGCTGCAAAACTGTTTCTCCCAGTAAATTTTTACAGAGGAGCCCAAGACAGAATACAGAACAAAGTGGTACCATTCAGGAGGAAGAAATCTTTGGCTGAATAGATGAACAGTGGTGATAGAAGTGGAGTGAGGGGCAAGACTTGCCACCCAGCAACATGTCTAAGGCCCTGTAGAGAGCTTCAAAAACACTAGTTGATTTTATATTTGCTGCAGCAAATTTTTGATACAAAAATGTCTTCTCTTTGCCATCAGAAATACTTCTTTCTAGCTGGTGGAATGGCTCAAGTGGTAGAGCACCTGCATAGAAAGAGCAAGGCCCTAAGTTCAAACCCCAATATGGCCAAAAATTTTTTTAGCTGGGCATTAGTAGCTCAACTGACTCTCAACTCAATTTAAAAAATACTAATTAAACATCTACTGCAGACAATACTATCTTTCTTCAATTATCATGTGAAAATAGGAAAGAACAAATTAAACAGAACTCACAAAGTTCCTCCAAACTCTGTTTTCCCCAGCTCCCTAATAAAATAAACACTGAAGTCAACAGATCCCAAGTTCTGACTATTCTTCTTTTCCTATCTATCCTTTGTTAGATGTTATAACAATAATAATTTATAGTTCTTTGTTAAAAATGAAACCAGGTTGGGCGTGATTGTACATGTCTGTAATCCCAGTTACTTAAGAGGTAGCGGTAAGAGGCTCATGGCTCGAGGCCAGTCTGGGCAAAGTTAGTGTGAGACCCTATCTAAAAAACAAACTAAAAAGAAAAAGGACTAGGGGGCATAATTCAAATGGTACTTGCATAGTAAGCGCAAGGGCCCTGAGATCATCCCCAGTACCAAAAAAAAAAAAAAGAAAAACAGTGTAGTGTTTAATCACTCTGAATAAATTAGATTACCAAGGAACATGTCTAGCATGCTCAGGGAAGTACAGGTTGCCATTTAAAACTTGAGTAAAAGGATACTTTTATGGACAAAGACAAGATTAGTTTGGCCCAGTTGGAGGGCAGTCACCATGGCTGTTTTCTCATCTAGTAAAGCCACTTTTCCAGTAAAAGACCCAACATGTGCAACTTTATGGTCTTGCAATTCCAGTGTATAATGTTCCAGGGGAAATTTCACCTCTGTAAGACATAAAAGATACATAAATATAATGACATCAGCTATTCCAGGGGATAATGGTGTCCCACTGGATTAGAAGAGGAAGATTGGGAAGCAGGCTTAAAATAAAGAGTAGAATCTGTTTCTCATTTTTTTCACACTATGATTAATTTCTGTAGACAGTCATTTGGGAAGGGGAATACTATATAAATTGATTGTTGGTATGACTTACATTTTTAAAAACTAACAAACTGAATAACAGGAAGGTCATACTGGTTAAGTAAGGAAAGAACTAATGTTCATGGAGCCAATGTACACTTTATAAACTCAGTGGGACTTTTGGGATTAATAGAATATTAAGCTTTCAGCTAATAAACTCAAATTTCTCAAGAAACAACTTTTGTCAGGATCATTGCAATAATTACTCAAGCCTCTTCTAGTAAAGTGTCTTCACTTGCCCCATATAAGCTGGTAAATTTTTCATTGTTGTAATAGTGAATGCAAATGCCTATGGACACTGACGCAAAGTGTCATTAGCTAAGCTAATTATGGGGACTATCTCTAGCCACTGTTAGGAATTAAGAAGTACTTTATCACAGAATCTACAAACACAAAGAAGTGGGGCTCTTTCCTTTGTTACCAGTAGAAAGAATTTAGAAAATATGAGTCATAGAAAAAGATAAATCATCTTACCTGCCATTCTTCCCTGAACCATTTTTGCAACTTGGTATTTAATATATGTTCCCACTAAGAGATAAATATCATGAGATGGAATAAGAAATATATTCTCCAAAACAAGCAGACGTATTGATGCTGCTGCCACTTTCTAAAAGAGGAAGGAAAAAACAGTGTTACCACAGGCAAGATTCTCAAGGCCACCCTCCCTGTTAAAAACTTACTACTTGTAAGTTTCTTTTAAAAATTTTATAAATTTCTTTTGCTAGTACTGGGGTTTGGACTCAGGGCCTTCACCTTGAGCCACTCTGCCAGCCCATATTTTGTAAGGGTTTTTTTGAGATAGGGTCTCTCGAATTATTTGCCTGGGCTGGCTTTGAATCATAATCCTCCTGATCTCTGCCTCCTGAGTAGTTGGGATTATAGGCATGAGCCACTGGTACCCAGCATTCCTTCCTTTTCTTGTGCTACTAGGTTTGAACTCAGGACCTTATGCTTGCTAGGCAAGCACTCTACTACTTGAGCCATGCACACCCCAGCCCTTTTACTTATTTTTTGAATAGGGTCTCATATTTATGCCCAGACTGATCTGGACCTCAGTCCTCCTACTTACACTTCCAGCATAGCTAGGATGAGAGGCACACACCACCATGCCCAGCTTTTTATTGGTTAAGATGCAGTCTCACAGCCAGGTGCCAGTAGCTCATGCCTATAACCCTAGCTACTCAGGAGGATCATGGTTTGAAGCCAGCTCAAACAAATAGTTCATGAAACCCTACCTCAAAAAAACCCATCACAAAAAAGGGCTGGTGGAGTGGCTCAAGATGTAAGCCCCGAGTTCAAGCTTACACAAACTTTTTGCCCCAGCCAATCTCAAACTGCAATCCTCCCAATCTCTGCCTCCGAGTAGCTGGAATTACAGTACCATAACTAACTAACTAACTAAATAACTAAATGCTTTGCTTGAATATAAATACATTAAAACCAAACTATGGATGTGAAAAGAGTTGTTATTTTTATAAAAAAACTAAATGTTTTGAAAAGACGTTAAAGGAAAGCTACTAATAAATGTTATCAAGTTAAATGTAAATGAGGAATGTAAAAAACTGGGGAAAAATCCTTAAAAGATATGGAATTCTATACTCAAACTCCTTCACACATTTCCAAATTTTCACTTGGCTATAAAAGAAAGTGAAAATAGAAATTGTAGCTGATGCAAGAAAGAGTATCTAGATTTCTAAACTGTGAATTCATGGCTAAAGAAAAGCCTTGGGCCTATATGAAAGAATTGGTGAATAAAATGCAGTTAAATGTTTTCAGAAACATGCCAGTCAGCTGGGAATATGGCTCAGTGGTTGAGTGCTTGCCTACTGTGAGCAAGGCCCTGGGTTTGATTCCTAGTACTACAAGGAAAAAAAGAACAAAGAATAGGAAATAAGAGAGGAAATGCCAGTCATATTTGTAATTATAATGAGATAATACTGTAAAATGTTTAAGGAAAACAAGTGTTTTCTATGTTTACCTAATTGAAATTGCTTTTTAAATTAAATGATCAACTACTGGCCCAAATCATATCAGGCTAGAGGGCTTCTACTGGAGATAAACATAAGAAACTTTATCTTACATAGGCAAGACTATTGGATGAAAGTTTATAGCACAAACTTTTTACCTTATAGAATGGTTCATATATTCGAACTTTTACAACAGCAGCACCAGTCTTAATCCCAGACACCAAAATCATATCTCCTTGTTTCTCTTCTTTTTCCATCTCAGCTATATAAGTGGGGGGAGAATATTCTGCTTCAGAGTATTTCAGAATTCTAAAGATATAAAATAAGATTTGTTTCTAGCAAAATCAAACAGTGTCTTCTTCCAAAGTCCCCAAGAGACTTTAGTCTCTATAATGTCTACACAATGTGGAGAGTTTTTAAACTTCTGATTTCCACAAGAAGTGTAAGTAATGAGTTTGTGGTTAAAACTGTTGTGGAACTAACACTTGAGTTGTCTGAGATCTGTTTCTGGGTGTTGAAGACAAATTTTCATATTATTATCTTACTCTATTTCAGCATTGGCAGATACCTTGAATAACAAAACTCCCAAAGATATACCTGGCTCAAATAATTGTATAGTCCTAAGCTAACAGGCTCCTCTACAGTGGCTAAATTTAAGCTATCATAAAGTTACTTACATCTATTTCATATATCACTCTATCAAAGACATTTTCCCTGGTGAATTTATCTGTTTCAAAAAAGTCCAGACAGCAGGATTATCAAAGTCCACACAAATGGTTGCTATTCAGTGTGCCACCCAATGGCAGATGTCTCCTTCATGGTCAGATGATTTATGTTTGGTTTCAAGTTTACCTAATTTTGCTAGATACTTCTTCTCTTGCTGACTCGTTATCCTGGGCAATGCTCCACTCAAACATCATCCCTGCCAAACTACTGAAAGTATTTCCTATAGAACAAGGCAAAAGTAGACAAGATAGAATCACATATTCAAAAATATCCAGGTATTTAACAAGAAAAAGAAATCTAACTAGAAAATTACTTTTACGCCTCTTTCAGTATCAAATAGCAGCACTATAACTAATGAATTAAAACACATATATGGGGCTGGGCGCGTATAGCTCAAGTTAAAGTAGAGTGCTTACCTACTAAGCAAGAAACCCTAAGCAATTTCCCCCAGTAAAAAACAAAACACATATGAGGAAGATATTTTACACAGTGTAAGTGCTGTTGCTGCACAAGTTTTCTGAAAATAAAAAAGGACTCAAGCTGATTAACTTTCAGTTGACAAAAGATATGCCACTTCTTTCTGTTCTTTTCTATAGAGGCCACCTTACATCTAATTTATAATTGACAGGCATATTTAATCCTGGTTCCTTCAATGCAAATTTTTACAAAAACTAGATTCCAAAACAGTTCTTTTTTCAGGTCATGTAAAAAATTACTCTTGACTAAGTAGTTTACAATGAAAGTGGCAATAGCTGGGCGCTGGTGGCTCATATCTGTAACCCTAGCTACTCAGGAAGCAGAGATCAGGAAGATCGAGGTTCAAATCCAGTTGGGGCAAATAGTTCATGAGACCCTATTTCGAAAAAAACCTATCACAAAAAAGGGCTGGCGGAGTGGCTCAAGGTATGGGCCCTGAATTCAAACCCCAGTACCACAAAAAAAAAAAAAAAAAAAGTGGCAGTAAATTTATGTTTTTAATATCATATTACAGCATTAGTGTAGTATATTTAAACCAATATAAAGTCAGCCTCAAGATTAACTTTTAAAAAAGTTACAGGCTCATACCTGTAATCCTAGCTACTAAGGAGGCAGAGATCAGGAGGATGGAGGTTTGAAGCCAGCTCAGGCAAACAGTTCAAAAGACCCTATCTCAAAAATACCCAACACAAAACATGGCTGGCAGAGTAGCTCAAGTGGTAGAGCGCCTGCTTAGCAAGTGTGAGGTCCTGAGTTCAAACCCCAGTACTGACAAAAATATAAGTGAATGAATGAATAAGTAAAATAAATAAAAATTTTGAAAAACACAGAAAAGTGGACTGGAGGTGAGGTTCAAGAGGTAGAGCACCTGCTTTGTGAGAGTGAAGTCCTGTGTTCAAACTCCAGTTCCACCAAAAAAAAAGTTTAGAAATAACAAACAATAAGAGGAGGAAATTTTACTAAAGAATACAGATTATAGATTGAACTACACTCAGAATTTATTCCTCATCTACTTGAGCTCCAAATAAGAAAATAAGTCTTATTTCTAATCTGCTTTTATCCCTCAAATTCCTGTTTCCAAATGCTAAACATGAAGGAGTACTACTTTATTTTAGGGAATTTTGTTGAATCTTCTGAATTTCTTTTACCTTTAGCATCCAATGCCCTCACCATCAGTTCCAGAGGTGAATCATCTACATAGAGTTCCCGGGTCCTAGATACAATTTCAATGCTGTCTATCACATCAACCTTAACATCGCAGCGCAGTTCATGGTCAGTCACTAAAATAAATTTTAAAACTGAGTATTTAATTCAATAGGTAATGACTATTAAATGTCTCAATTACTCAAAGTTTACTCTAAAGATTGTAAAAAAAAAAAAAAAAAAAGACAGTTGCTTTTACTTGTAAAAGAAAACAGCATAATGACAAGATATAAGAGCCTCTGTTTATAATAAAGGACAACTAGACCATTGGTTCCCAAACACTGATCTATGATGATGTTTTTCACTCATCCATGGAAAAATAGAAAAGAGTTTTGAAATAGTGAGTAGTAAAATTAAATTGTATTTAATCATTTTATTAACTGATTATACACATTACTTTAAGGAATATATTACTTATCTAACTTTTTAAGTGGTAAAATGTTTTTATAGTTTATGAAATGAAAATAAAAGTAGACTTTTACAAAAAGTGTTTATCTAGGTAAAATAGTGGCAACTTAAGTCAATTGTATTAATAAAACTCTCTTTCTCTCAATTTTTTTTCTGGACTATGAGATTAAAAAGCCTGGGCTTAGCTCAAGTGGTGGAGCACCTGCCTAGCAAGTGTGAGACTCTGAGTTCAAACCCCAGTAATGCCAAAAAGAAAAAAAAAAAAAAAAAAAAAAAGAGCCTAGTGTCAGTGGCTCATGCCTATAATCCTAGCTACTCAGGAGGCAGAGATCATGAGCATTGTGGTTCAAAGCCTGCCTGGGCAAACAGTTCACGAGACCCTATCTCAAAAATACCCAACACAAAAAAGGGCTGGTGGAGTGGCTCAAGATGTAAGCCCTGAGTTCAAACCCCAGCACTGCAAAAGAAAAAAAGAAGTTTGAGCCCTACTATATTAGAATCAATCAGAGTCCCAGTCCAATGAGAGTTGCAGTCAATATATCCAGAATAAAAATCAGAAACATTAGAAACACCTAATTAAAATAATACAAACCAAAATAAGGATGAATAAAATTGTTTTCTATCTCAATCCACATTTCCAATGTATTCAAGAACTATCTCCTAGCTGGACATGATGGTGCATGCCTATAATTCTAACTACTCAGGAAGCAGAGACAGGAGGATCACAGTTTTGAGGTCAGTCCAAGTAAAGGCAGCTGAGACACCCTGTCTCAAAAACAAAATAGAAACAAAAGGGTGCCAGTGGCTCACGCCTGTAATCCTAGTTATTCAAGAGGCAGAGATCAGGAGAATCACATTTGAAATCCATCCAGGGCCAATTTTTTCCATGAGACCTTATCTTGAAAAAACCCTTCACAAAAAAGGGCTGGTAGAGTGGCTTAAAGTGTAGGCCCAGAGTTCAAGACCCAGTACCACCAAAAAAAAAAAAAAGCTAAGGGTTTAACTCAAGTGGCAGAAGGCAGAGTACTTGCCTAGCATGCATAAGGCCCTGGGCTTAATTCCTAATAAAACAAAAGAACTACAGCTGCCTCATTCTGCTGTTGTAACTACACATTTTTAGTTTTAGCTTCATTCATAAGAAACAAAAAGCAAGGTAACTATCACTACAATATCCAAAATTACCAAGTGGACCTCAGCAGTAAACTCTGTCCCTCTCCATGGATCTGTGTTTTTGGAATATAAAAATTAAAAGAAAATGTTAAGCCCAGTGTGGTGCAGGTACCTGTAAATCCCAGCACTGGAGAGACTAAAGCAGGATAATCAGAAATTCAAAGCCAGCCTGGGTTACATAGGGAGACCCTATCTCAAAAAAAAAAAAAGAGAGAGAGAGAGAGAATGTTAATCAGATAATACAGGCAAATGCCCCTCAACAATGGTTAAGGTATATAAAACTATTCTTATTTTAGGAAATGGTATGCTTCCTTTCACAAGAGACCTTAAAAATTGAATTAAGGAATGAGGGCCTGGCTTCAGTGATAGAGTACTTGTCTAGCAAGCACAAAACCTTTAGTTCAAACACTAGTATTGTCAAAAAAACAAACAAACAAACAAAAAACCTGCCAGGCATGGTGGCTCAAGTCTGTAATCCTAGCTATACTGGAAGTGGAGATCAGGAGGATCATAGTTTGAGGCAAACCTGGGCAATAAATTACAAGACCCCCATCTCAACTAATAAAAACTAGCTGTGGGGCTATCCCAGCTACATGGGATCACTGATCACTGTCCAGGCCTGGATATAAAGTAAGACCCTATTTGAAAAATAACTAAAGGAAAAAAGGTCTGGGGCATGGCTTAAGTGATACAGCAATTGCTTAGCAAGTTTGAGGCCCTGAGTTAAACAAGGCCTCAAAAGAAAAAACAGACTTAAAACTGTAATCCCTAGTGGGTGCTGGAGGCTCACACCTATAATCCTAGTTTACTTGGGAGGCTAAAACTGAGAGGCTCTCAGTTTCAGGCCAGCCCAAGAGCGGGGAGGAGAGATAATTCATGAGACCCCATCTGCAAAATAATCAGAGCAAAGTGGACTGGAGGCGAGGCTCAAGTGGCAGAGCACTTGGCTTTGCAAGGGTGAAGCCTTGAGTTCAAACTCGAGTCCTACAAAACAAAACTGTTATCCCACAAGAGGAGGAGGGAGCAGAATGATCTTTAGTTCCAGGCCAGCCTATGCTATATAGTGAGACCCAGTCTCAATTAAAAAAAATTAATCATTCTTGAACTGCTTTATATTTACTCTAGTGTTGAACAAATAAGTAAATAAATTGTAGATAATGAAGGCGAAATTTCTCTTTCTGAGAAAGAAGTTACAAATAAGAAAGGAGGGGTTCTTTGTATCCATAATGAAAATAGAATAAAACCTATTGAAATTGTTCTAAGAAGTGGGGGAGAGGGGAAGAGGGAGAATGATGGAGGGGGTAAATCCAACTAAGATATATTTTAAACACTTATGTAAATATCACAATATATCCCCCTGTACAACTATTATAGTCTAATAAAATCATTAAAAAAAGAAAGGAGGTGTTGAAAGGGATAGAACTGTGGTTCAAGTGGTAGAGCATCGAAGCCCTGAGTTCAAACCCCCCAGTGCCACAAAAAGAAAAAAAAAAAAAAAGGGAAGAAAGAAAAAGGGAGGGGAGGCTAGAGGGAACCCTGTGCTCATGTTTAATATATACGCAGATATAGGTCAGGCAGGAGTGGCAGAGCACCAGCTTTGCAAGTGTGAAGCCTTGAGTTCAAACTCCAGTCCCACAAAACAAAATTGTAATCCCACAAGAACAGGAGGGAGCAGAATGATCTTCAGTTCCAGGTCAGCTAGATCTATGTAGCAAGTTCCAGCCAGCCTGGAACTGGAAGATACAGAAATAAATGTATACATGTACATATACATAGGCTAGAAAACATAAATGTATTTCCTAGCTCTGTCTGCTGAGAGGGCCTAGAAGCAGTGCACTCCCATAGCAATAAGGACACTTACATCCAGATCCTTTTTTTTTTGTTGTTTTTATGGTATGGGCCTATAGGGCCTACACCTTTAGGCACTTCACCAGCCCTTTTTTGTGATGGGTCTTTTCAAGATAGGGTCTCGTGAACTATTTGCCTGGGCTGGCTTTGAACCAGGACCCTCCTGATCTGATCTCTGCCTCCTGGGTAGCTAGGATTATAGGTGTGACCCACCAGCTCCTGGCCCTTTACATCCAGATCTTGATTTCTAACTATAACTCCTTAACAAAAAGAACCATGATTGCATGAAGAAATGGCTAGACATGGAAAATATAAGACAAGCTTAGAGTTCAAAAGTAAGGAAGTACTAAAAATAATTAAGTAAATAGCTAGCAAAAATTAAAAAGATAAGGGGGAATCCAAAGGACATTGGACCCAACCTGAAAGAGATCTCAAGTGGTCAAAGGTGGAAAAGCTAGTTCCAAAATGAATTACAATAGCATTAAATTATAACCCAAAAACTAAAATATCCATGAGTCCATACTGATGTAAATAATAATTGAATAAATGAGATAAATAAGTAACTGGAAAGAAGTTATTTGTGAGATGCAAGACATCTTTCTTTCAAAATACTAGTTAAAGGGTTGGCAGAGTGGCTCAAGGGGTAGAGAGCTGCCTAGCAAGTGTGAGGCCCTGAGTTCAAACTCTAGACTAACACCATGGTGATGATTCACAGATAAATGCTAAAATTAGTGAGTAGAACTTTAAGTTACAGTTACAATTACTGTAATCCCATGCCCAGCCAACAGTGATCACTTTTTTGTGTGTAAGAAATTTTATTTAGCAAAGTATAAAAGCAGGAAAACACAGCACATCTCAATAGTCTGGAGATGTGGGCACATGAGAAGCTCAGTCATCACTTTTAATGAATAGCAGATGGGAAGGGAAAATTAATACATAATAGTGGAGAAACCTGACAGACACGATCTTACTAAGTGATCACAGTTAACAATGCCAGTGATAAATCATGTTAGTATCATGTGCTCCCTGATATAATGCAATGAGAAGGGATCACTTCTGTATTTCCTCTCCCACCTCCCCCAAAAAAAACAATAACCACAGGCTCATCATGAGAAAATATCAAAATGAAAGACATTATATAAAACATCTGATTGATACATTTGAAAAGTGTCAAAAATAAGCTGGGCGCCAGTGACTCACGTCCGTAATCCTAGCTGCTCAGGAGGCAGAGATCAGGAGGATCGTGTTTTGAAGCCAGCCCAGGCAAAAATAGTTTGCAAGACTCTATCCTGAAAAATGCTTCACAAAAATAGGGCTGATGGAGTAGCTCAAGGTGAAGGCCCTGAGTTCAAGCCCTAGTATCACCAAAAAAAAAAAAGTGTCAAAAGTAATTGAGAAATTGTTATAGATCAGAGGAGACGAAGGAAACAATGAAATTTAGCAATGAAGTCTCTTGAATTCTAGAGCAAAAAGAACATTAAATCAATTAGGAGAAACTGAGTGAAGGGTATATAAGAATTCTCTGTACTATCTTTACACTTTTCTGTAAATCTAAGGGTATTTTAAAATTCAAAAAAAATTCTTAATTTAGGCTGGCAGAGTGAGGCCCTGAGTTCAATCCCAGTACCACATACAAAAAAAAAAAATTCTT